ACATGATACTCTGTTTATTATGCCAGTCAGTATCTGCACGTACAGTGTGTGTGTGTGGTGTGTGTGTGTGTGTGTGTGTGTGTGTGTGTGTGTGTGTGTGTGTGTGTGTGTGTGTGTGTGTGTGTGTGTGTGTGTGTGGTGTGTGTGTGTGCACTCCATATTTAGTTCAATATAATTTCATACATACATTTATGTACTGAACAAACTCAATGAACCCTCTGTCATGATGTTTACAACATAAAATAACATTAGTAATACATTGAAATGAGCTATCATTGAGTAAATCACTAAATAATGTAAATTAATTTGTTTGTATCTTTATTACAGTAATCTGCAGATGTAAGTTATATTTAACAGTTTATTTAATAATTGTAGCAATTTAAGAGTAAGTCTCATATTTGCTGTTATTTAATTTAGTTGCATATAAACATAATTTCTAGGAGACAGGGTTGCTTCCTTCTCCAATGTATCTTTCTCTACCACCTTCTTTCCTCATCCTCATCTCTACCTCCTCTTCCTACTACTCTTTGTCTTCCACCTCTGTTTCTGCTATATTCCTCCTCATCTTCTTCCTCATTTTCATCCTCTGCCCTCCTCTCTTCTCTTACTTCCTCTTCTTCCTACTCCCCTTTATTCTCACATCTCTTCCTCATCTATCACTTCCTCATTACTATCCTTTCTCCTTTGCAATTTTATTCCTTTTCCCTTATTTCTTGTTCCTCCTCCTTCCCCATCGTCCTCCTTTCCCTCCCACCTCTTCTCTTTCTCATTATATGTTCCTTACCCCATCCCCATCTCACACCTGCTTAACCTCTCCTCTTCCAAGTCCCTGTCATTCCACCTTCCCTTCCTCCATCTGTCCTCTCCTCTCTTATCCTGCCCTGTGGACAGACAAGGCTAGTGAAAGTTTTCTCCTCTTCCTCCTCTGATTCTATTATGTCTCATCCTATGGGTCTTTCCAAAATAGTGACAGTCTAACAGCTCCTCCTTCCTCCTCCTCCTCCTCCTCGTCTTGTCCCCTCCTGTACTGTTTAATCCCGTCAAAGGCCGTGTCTTCTCCTGTCTTCTCCCTGTCTTCTTTCTCCTTCCATCTGTTCATCTCCTTGACACAGTGCAGAAGTTTCACCCCTCTGCTCCTCCTCTTGTTGACAGTTTGCAAAGATACCTCCACTCCCCTCTCACTCTTCCCTTCTCTTCCTCTGCCTCCTCTGATGGAACCTGAATCCATCAAACATGACAGGGTGTAAAAACCTCTCCTCTCATCTTCTCTCCATTGGTTGATCTTTCTTTCCTACCTTTTACCCTTCTTCCTCCACCTATGGAGCCTCTCCCTCAGTCCTTAATCCTCTCCCTTCCTCTCCATGTCATCTCCCATCACTTCTGTGGAACTAGGGACTCTATCAAAGCATGACATGGTGTGAAAGCCCACATACACATTACACACACACACACACACACACACACACACGCTACCTCTTGTCAGCACATTTCGACTCATGTTTCATCCAGACACTTAAAACACCTAAACTGAAACAAACTCAATATTTATTCAAAAATGTATCACTACATTTTATTGTGTTCAAGTGCCAAACAAGTAGCATGCTGTAAAAATTCAAAGACAACTCTTAATTTCAAGGCATTAAAACAAAAGGTTCAACAATTTAACTTCACATCCAAAGTTTTGAGTTTGTCGATTGTTGTTTTGTTTTTACATTGTTACAACTTTTCATTTCTATGTTTGTTAAGTTACTCTAAATCTGTACATTCTGAAGCTATCTAATTGTTTAGTCTAATTGTTACAGTGTTTGCTGTAATGTTAAGACACTTGTAGACCAGAATATCTAATATACAGGGAGCGGGAAGAAGGAAGGAGGATTTTATTACAATGAAACTCAAATAAGATTCCAAGCTGTCAGAACTCTTTCCCTCAACAGGAGACTATTGGTTTGTTGGCATAATTTTATTTTTTCCCTATAAACCACTGATAATTTATGTGTCCCTTATTTATGCCAAGAAGAAGTTGGTGTTTTTACAGTGCATCTTATCCCAAATTCAGAAATGAGAAACATAAACAAGGGGGTGAAAGAAACGATCACTAATGGTTTAGTGATTTAAAGTAAATATTTGTACTTATTAGGCCAAGGACCTGGAAAAGGTATTTATTGAGGAGGAATATAGACAAGAAAACTAATCAAAATCACAGTGAAAATACCAAGGCAGCAGTATTAATTTGACAGTTACAGTATGTTGTTGTAAAGTAATATGCTCTTTGTTGGCTCGCTCTGGCAGTTTGCCGAAGCTCATTTGAATTGAAGCTATATCAGGAAAGAGGGAAAGAAGGAATTAGAGCGAAAGGCAGAGAGAGAGAAGGATGAATACAAATTGGAGGTTTTAATACTGAGAGCCAGTGACAAAGGATGGCATGACAGAAGGTAGATCAAAAGGAAAATGAAGATTAGGAAAGAAGGAGAAGGGGTTAGAAACAGTTATGTAATGAAGAGAGAGATATTTTGGGATAGGGTAGAGGTAGATTAGGTCCTTCTCATCTTTTTTGTCTGGCTATTTAAAAATACACTATACACAGTTATTGGAAAAAATGGTCCCAATTTGGAAATAAATTGAATTAACGCTGAATTCCTAGTGTAAAGCAATATTTCTGTGTATGTGCTCTGGCTGTAGAGCACATTGAGTTATATTTAATTGAATTGAGCTGAAAAGGAGCAGAGAGAAGACACCAGAGGGGGAAAAAATCAAAATGATAAATGGTACTGACAGCGGCTTTGACAGGAGGCAGCATTTTACCCTACAACATTTCATTCAATTTACACACACACCGAAGGACTGTAGCTAATAAGGATACTGCCCAGTCATGTTCATCCCACATGAGGCAAAGTGTAGGCTGTTAATTGAGTTCATTAAATCACCATTACATTGTGTGTGTGTGTGTGTGTGTGTGTGTGTGTGTGTGTGTGTGTGTTTGTGTGTGTGTGTAAACCAAATTAATTGTGAATTCTGCTTAACTGAAGGAGAACCATGAAGGACATGTGAGATATAATTCTCAACATGCAGTTTAGGTGAAAATGTTCTCTTTAAAGTGATTTTTCCATGCATTTCCAGTGATGATCCATTTTCCCGAAAAATACGACCATATACCTGTAGATCGTCTGTAGCTTATTGCGACCCATATTTACGTTTATTGTTAGCCGCTGACCTCTAGTGGCCGAAGTTATTATGGTGAGAGCCAAGGAGGAAGTCAGGTGACGTAGAATAAAGATTAAGTCCACGTACCAAGGAGGCCAGGGTGGACAAACACTTTGACCCAGGAGACTGCTGTTTTGTGTGAAACCAAAGTCAATGTTAAGACTTATTTTAACATGCTTATTTGAATCCGAATCATTCATAAACCTAACCTAGTAGTTTTGGTGCCTAAACCTAACCTAAATAATGATGGTTGTTAAGTCTTTGTCTCTTGTGTTGTGTAGCAGGCTGCTGTTTGAATGCTAGAATGATGATGTAGCTATCCATGCATTAAGCATTAGCCAAAAACATGCAGTTAAATTTCAGCTGGACTTCTGTGCCTGGGAGTCTTTAGTTGCTGCTCTTCTTGCCTTGAGCTGTCGTGCTTCATGGACGGGCTGAGAGCCACAATTCCAAACTGTGCTTCTTGCTTATGATGGAGTAAAAGTTTGACAAAAATACTCCTGGCAGAAATTCACATGTTCGTGTGTGTGTCTATGTGAGTGAGCTATAAGCTCCATGCTGCAACTGAGGGGAACAAATGACCAATGAGCTGATGGAGACCCACAATGCACTGCATTATAATGGAAGGCAACAGCATGGATAACCGTTCCCCCATGGAAAATTTGATCATAACCTTTCTCTCTCTTTCCCTTTCTCTGTATTTCTCTCTCTTTTTTCTTCCTCTCTCTTTGATCCCAGTTGTGAGTTCAAACTCTACTGTGAATCCCAATTACTGACACACACCATAAAGAAAAGGGGAAAAGAAGAACAGAGAAAAGTGTGTGTGTGAGAGAGAGAGAGACAGTGAGTGAGATGATCGAGAAAGTATATGTTCATTTAGTAATGCTACTATAACCATTGAACAGTGTAAACCTAATTGTATAAGTTATATCCACAGAAACCTCTAGATATTAATTTAACACAAAGGTAGATGATAGGGTTGTCAACTGCAAATCACTGATTTGAATGGTTTCGCACAGTTTAGTTCAAAGATTCACAGTCTTTCAAACAGTAAGTAATGTACTGTGTATCAAGGCTGAGCTGACAACAGTGCTCTTAAAAAAAACTGATCTTAATTGTGATGGTGTCATAAAGAAAAAGAATCACCCAAGGCCTGGTATCTTAGATGTTTCTGTTTCAGGTTTAGTATATTTAATAGAGAGCTTTGTTTGTTTCAGCACTGTACTCCAGAGCTTTGAAGAATTACAGTGCCGTGATGGATGCTGTCATTACACATTAAAATGTATAAGTCCCATAACGCCAAGTCCATAACAACTGATTACAAATTGACAATTACTGCCCCAGTAGCGCTGCTGCAAGTCTACATCTTTTTATACAAATGTCTCAGGTGTCACTAGTCTGACTTTAACTTAACTTAAAGACATGACTGAGATGATTATTTTGAGTGTCACAGGGAGTTATTGCATCTTTTGTGGGGCATAATTTCTCTTCTATACTTGATAGTTTCACTTTCTACTTTACTTCTGACTAGGAACCTTATAGGCTTTGTTTGCTGGTTTATCTGTCTACTTTTTCACCAATACCTATAACATTGGCAAAATCTGATTGGTTTGTTTTACAGTTAACTTTTTTTACTGTTATTTTTATTTTTTGTTTTAAGGTGTGTACTCAAGACTCCCTGGGAAGCAGTATTGATTCTAAGTGAATTATCCTGGTGAAATAAAACAAAGTAAGTCTGCATGGCCTGCTGCGGTCCTAATTTAACACTGCTATTGGTTGTTGTCTTGTGGTGTTTTCAGAGGAACAACAGATGGAAAAGGAGGAGGAAGAAGAGCCGCTGGCGGGAAAAGATGAAGAGGAACGACGCATTGCTGAGATGGGCCGCCCCATGCTGGGAGACCACGTGAAACTGGAGGTCATCATAGAAGAATCATATGAATTCAAGGTAAGGCAGGGAGTGTGTGTGTGTGTGTGGTCAGATAAATGAAAGTTAAAAGTCCGACTGGAGTTTAATTAATCTAGCAGAGATGACAGGGGCACATGTTTTAATGTGACATTTAATTCATGTCTAAGGACAGGCATGTGTTTTATTAACAAAAAGTAATTTAATTTAATGAATACAACAAATCATTTTAAAGCTTAATAAATGTGGCTGGCAAAACATAGTGCCAGGTTAACTTAAACAAACAAAAGACAACAAAGCAACACACCATGGTGCTGGGGACCAAGAAGAAGCAAGCAGTCAAAAGCCCCGCAACAATCAGGAAGGGGTGGATTTTATGCAATCTGGAGACAGTGGCCAGCTGCCTCTGATCTGCCTGATGGTCTCAGCTCCACTCCACAAGGAAATTCACCCTGCAACCAGACACAGAGACACGCACACTAACACCCTGACAGAGGCCCTGGGCCATCACAACACAGTCACAAACCTGTCCAATACATACAGTAAATGTGTTGTCATTGTGTGTGCATCCTTTCCTTGCTCTCCCTCTCGCAGACTCTTAAGACAAGGGTGTAATTACCACCCATGTTACATTTGTTTATATATATATATATATATATATATATATATATATATGTGTGTGTGTGTACTAATGTATGTCTTCGCTGCTGCTCCACCTACATGCACACTCTAGACAGACACTTAATAACACCCAGTAATAGCTTGCCACTTGACAGGATGCTATACTTTGTCAAGTGGTTTTGTACTTTAAATTGTGTGTGTGTGTGTGTGTGTGTGTGTGTGTGTGTGTGTGTGGGCATGGAACTGGATCCTATAGTTATCTGAAGTACTGCCCATTGGCAGATAGTGGAGTACAACAGTGTGAGAGTGTCTGATATAATGGATTGAAGGAGAAAAAGGAAATGTTGCATTAATAGAAAGTTTATGTGGAAGCTGGAAGTTTTTTCAAATCTAAATGGATTTAATTTAAAAAAATAAAATCACTAAATAAATTAAATGTATTACTAACAAACATTAATTAAAAGTCAAATAGGAAACTTCCAAATGTGTTTCTTATAGTCCTCTCAGTGAAAGAAAGGATGAGTAGTTAAAAAGTCTTTATCAGAATCTCATCATTATCTGATATCTCAGTGATTTGCCAGTAATGGTTTACATGATTGTTAATGATCAACTAATCAACAAAATCAAACAATGTGGTTATTCACTCATTCACTTAGATGGCTGGACCGTTTTTGTCACTCTATTTATTTGGCCCTAAAAGCCAACATACAGACATTAGGAGTAGCTAAACAGCAAAGTACAGACCATGTAGAGTGCCTGTGTGTGTTTGTGTGAGAAATCAGCCTCTGATTTATCTCAGATCTCACCAGGTTCTTTCTGTTTTTTTCCTCCAGAGCCTCACCTTCTCCTCTTGTTTATGTTTACGAAGTGAAGCTGTAAAGGAAAAGAACACAGTATTCAGCGTCTTCACCTCAGTACATGGCACTCAGGATGAATTCATGTCTACCATTTTCTTTCCATTGTCTTTTCATTGACTTTATACCTAATTATGCTGCCTCTAAAATTAACTTTGTGGTCAGTCTGACTGCAACTTCAGTCCTCAAAGCTCATACTCTGGCAACTAGTCGAAAAGAGAAAATTGATTTGAAAGATTTATCATAGTTCACTGACTTATGGGTCAGCATCAGGTCGAAAATTTGTTGCCCTCAGTATTTTATATGAGTCCAGCCGAGTTTAAAGTAATGAAGAAAGAAATAGAAAGAAAGCAAGGGAGGTAAAAATAACAGCATTACACAGAATGAGAAAACTACAAACACCAAGCCGAGTACGGTTAAATAAACACTTCGCACACAATGGGCAGAGTAAAGCTAGTTGTGTGTGTGCATGTGTGTGTCCACAGCAGCAGCGAGGCACTATTTACACCCCTAAGCTCCATTCAACACAATTAGCATCCCAGTTTCTCTCTGAAGTGGAGAGAAATGGAGAGAGCAATCCCCACCGCTGCGCTAATTAGTGTGTGATGTGTGTGTGTGTGTGCATGCATGTTTATGTGTTATCTCTAAGTCATAGTTTCATCCTTTTGAAGAAAAGAACAAAGACATATATAATACTAGGAATGAAGGAGACAATGAAGGAAACAAAGGAAGGAGGGAGGGGCTGTTTTGTATATGTCTTGTATTTTAACTGTGCAGACCTACGTAAAGATTATACAATTCTGCATTAAAATATCTAAAACCGACTACACCTATGTTATATATTCAGTTGAGTTGTGCACACAAAATGTTTCCAACAATGTGAAGGTTCTCAGTCATCCAGGTCATAGTTATCTAACGAAGGTTGAGGTCAAGGGCAACTGGACTTGGTTGAAGATACTAGAAGATGTTTGGTCCCTCATCAAATAGACTTCTTCATTTCTGACTGACTGGTAGGGAAACTAAGCTATTTAACCTCCGTGGGATCGTTAGCTAGGATTGTCGATACCGCTTCTTTGTAAGTGCTCCTGGCTGTGATAGTCGATAGAACCACCTGTGGCCAAGTCTGAATGACTGTCATTGGTATCTTCACCTGAGACCAAGAGGAAATGCTTGTTCAGTTTCCTGGGAAGTGATGAAAGGACCGCATTGTAAGTGGGGGACAAGTGGTAGCGTAGACCCCCTCCTCTGTTCCGCGATGGCTTTTTAATCCGGGTGTAAATGGCTTCCTTGACACCTCTTTCAAACCATCTTCTCTGTCTAAAATGTGCACCTGGTGATCCTCTTGACCTGAGGAGTTAGCCCTTTTGTGTTGAGCCATGCGTTTGTGTAGTGGTTGTTTAGTTTCACCAATGTCCAGTTGCCCCGAAACATCTTCTAGTATCTTCAAGTCCAGTTGCCCTTGACCTCAACATTCGTTGTTTCCAAGAATGTTTCCAACAAGTTCGTCTGTCCCCTCTAGTTCTTATAACTTCCAGGGAAACACGGGATATGTCAGAGTGAGGAAGGAAGTCGGCGAACGTGATTAAACATAACACGAATAAAGATGTAATACATTACCTCGTCCGTGAACATGATGAGGTAATGTAATGCTGATTTTCATCGGCATGGTGGTTTGTTTAACAATGAAGACATCAACCATGGGCCCACGCTACTTCATGATGTCATCAAACTACTTCTTTTGTTATTGTTTTGATGTGAGAGGCTAGCTGCAGAAATTACATACTGTGTGTTTAAGTGGGAAAACAGTATGTGAGGGTTGAGGGTTTAGTATTTTTTTTTTAAATTAACATTATCAAAGGAAGTGTTATACAACCACGAGAGCAGGGTAAAGATAAACATGTGCCCAAATGTCTCTGTTAGGTTGTGTAAGTAGTGCATTTCCTATAACCCCCATATTTTTCTACACCCCTTTACGTAAAGGAATTAACTTGATGCAAACAACCTCTCTAGAAAACATGAAATTGTTTGTTTGCTCTTAATCAACAGTGCCAGTTTCTTGTTTATGCAGTAAAGCCATAAACAGACTACTAACACCGAACAAATGGCAAATGGCTAATTCTCGCAAATTAATGATTTATAATGAAATGATATGGCATCTTGAACACTCAGCGAACAGGCTGCTGTCTCCCATCTAACCATTAGTATTCCTCTGTCGTTTGGCAGAACACAGTGGACAAGCTGATAAAGAAGACCAACCTGGCTCTGCTGGTAGGAACCAACAGCTGGAGGGACCAGTTCATAGAAGCCATTACCGTGAGCGCAGGTAAGGCCAGTGGAGAGATGTGTGTTTGTGTGACTGTGTGTGTCTGTGTGCTGACTGTGTATCTTTTTATCAATTTAACAGTTAAGGCGTTAAACTTTGAATTTTAATGGAGTCCTCTGAGGGGATTTGAAGAAGCAGATGTGCGAGAGTGTGAGCGTGTGTGGCATATAAATTCTTTTTAGTATGTAACAGCTGCAGCTTTATGCTCTGTTGAGCTCTATGTGGTCCTCTGCTCTGTTGTGTTCTAACGATCAATATAAACAAAAATACCAGAAATCTCATCTTGTATGTGGGTGCATGTGTGGTTTGCTACTTTAATGACGCCCATTGCATCAAATGATGGCTGACTGTTGTAAAATGAAGTGGGGTGATCTCATGGCATCAAGTGTGTGTGCGTATGTGTGTGTTCATGATTTTTAATGGTTACTGGAAAGTGGACTGATGGTTTGGAGAGACAAACACTGACCAGATGGGAAGATTATGTTGAGAGCAATTGTGAGAGCGATTGTGCGTGTTTCAGCCACCACAACGACACAACAACAGGGATATGTGTGTGTGTGTGTGTGAGAGTGTGTATGATAGAGAACAGTATAGAAAGAGGGGAATATCTTGCCACTGTCAAGATCTGTTATAAGCTGTTGTTAATGTCTCATGGAAGGGAAGAAAGAGGATACTCATGAACAGCAAAACATAAGGAAACCTTGTGTGAGAGACGCATTATCAAGAGATTGACGAGAGAGAGAGAGAGAGCAAGGGGGGGGGGGGGTACATGCACAGTTTGGATAAAAGAGAATGCATGCATGAAGACAAATATCCATCCATCCATCCATCGTCAACCGCTTATCCTGCATGAAGACAAATATAATGTATGGAAACGAAATAATTCTTGCAACAAGTAAGCTGGTTATAGAGAGAGATAGAGAAACAGAGAACAGAAAAAAGAGGCATGTTTCACTGCAGAATCCTCACAGTTCATTAGTTAGTAGTGGCAACTTGCCCCCTGGAGGCAGAATAACATTACTGCAGCTCATCAAGGGAGAAAGAGAGGAAACAGAGAAAGCACTACTTGGAATAGCAGGTTTTCACTGCCCTGCTGTTTCTGCTGCAAAATTCACCTCAGTCCAACAGTGATGAGCTATATTTTTATCAATCTCTGTCCTTTTGGATTCACTGTTGATTCTGTGGTTGGCACTTCTTTTCTGTTCATTCCATAATCCAAAACATCACTTCCTTTGTCAAATATGAAGCTTTTTTGACCTCTGTAACTGCATACCTTGGTTTGACTTAATACATTTTGGGGAAATACTCAAATTCATTTTCTTGCCAAGAGTTACTAAGATTAATACCACTCTCATATCTGTACAGTAATAAAGCTGCAGCCTGCAACCTGTTAGTTTAGCTTAGTGTAAAGACTGGAAACAATGGGAAACAACTAGCCTGGCTCTGTCTGGAAGTAACAATATCTGCCTAGAGTTGTAGTACCTGTGCTTTGTTTTGAAGGTTATGTAACCAGTGTTCCTACGGTGGCAAGTTTACATACATTAAACAACTGTAACTGACAACACCATCAAATGTTAGAATTTATGAAAAGTTCCATCATGCTGAGAATATTATGCGCCAATCAGCCAAACGTCTTGCTAAAAATTGTAGCTCACTTATTTCCCACTGTTCAGACTGACTAAGTACATTATTATTATATTATATTATTATATTATAAGTATTATATTATATTGCATATACCTGTAGAATAATTAATAGAAAGGATAAAATTGTTTTATGTTTATTTTATATGAAAATAGTGCAGATGTTAATGCATGGTAGGACAATCACCCAATTTGCTGCTGCGGCTGTCTTTAAAACTGTATTTCTATCATTTTCTTGCAGTGTTGTCTATAGCCTGCTCGATCACTTTAGTGCCTTCAAATAACTTCATCCTGTGTGTGTGGGTGTGTGCGTGTGTTTGTTTGTGCTTTAGTTAGCCAGCCTGTCAGCTAGGCTTTGTTGGTGAGCTGTTGCCATTAATGAAAAGGCTTCACTCTTATCTGGGATTAGCTTGTCTAGGCTGACAGAGTTGTGTGTGTGTGTGTGTGTGTGTGTGTGTTAAAAAAAGAGCAGGAAAAAGGCTGTGAATGCAATTTCCATTAAAGAACAGGTTTTTACTGTTATACACTCACACACACACACTAATACAGCTTCATTAGATTATATCACACAACAAATTAATATTCCAGGGTTTCACCATGATATGCCTGTAAACTGTTAACGGCTCGACTGTAGCACTCACACACTCAACAAACATAAGTCGACAAGCCAAATCAGATCCAAACTGGAGGTTCATTGGTTTTTCAGGGCCTTTAAACTTCAAGTTGACTGGATTGGGTGAGTTCAAAGTGTTTGAGACCTGATTGGATGCTTACAGATCAAACTGGCAGCTGATTGGGTAGACAGACATCCAGCTGTGGAACGTCTGATAGGATGGAAACACATTGCTAGCACATTTATCTGCTCTCTTTGTTTATTGAGAATGGGAAGGAGAGCATGGAAGGATGAGAAAGAGAACAGAAGATAAAAAAGGTGTGTGCCGATACATTTTCTTATGTACTATGAAAATGAGTATATAGTACACAGTGTGTAGTATGCATATGCAGTACATTATTGGGACTCAACAACAAAGACAACATGTAGAAATAGAAGTTTGTTTAGATGTGCATGGAGCTGGGGTCAGTCTGAAATCATTTACATACAGTGGTGTGAAAAAGTGTTTGTCCCCTTCCTTATTTTTTTGCATGTATGTTACACTGAAATGTTTCAGATCAACAAACAAATTGAAATATTAGACAAAGATAACCTACATTGCCCTCTGTGAAAAAGTGATTGCCCCCTAAACCTAATAACTGGTTGGACAACCCTTAGCAGCAACAGCTGCAATCAAGAGTTTGCGACGATAACTGGTAATGAGCCTCTCGGGACTTTGACTAGGCCACTCCAAAGTCTTCATTTTGTTTATCTTAAGCCATTCAGTGGAATTGCTGGTGTGTTTTGGATCATTGTCCAGCTGCAGAACCCAAATGCACTTCAGCTTGAGGTCATGAACAGATGGCCGGACATTCTCTTTCAGGATTTTATTGGTAGACAGCAGAATTCATGGTTCCATTTAGCACAGCAAGTCTTCCAGGTCCTGAAGCAGCAAAACAGCCCCAGACCATCACACTACCACCCCCATATTTTACTGTCGGTATGATGTTCCTTTTCTCAAATGCTGTGTTACTTTTCCACCAGATGTAATGGGACACACGCCTTCTAAAAGTTCAACTTTTGTCTCGTCAGTCCACAGAGTATTTTCCCAAAAGTCTTGTGGATGATCAAGATGTTTTCTGGCAAAACTGAGACAAGCCTTTATTCTCGTTTTGCTCAGCAGTGGTTTACGTCTTGGAACTCTGCCATGCAGGCCATTTTTGCCCAGTCCCTTTCTTATGGTGGAATCATGAACACTGACCTTAACTGAGGCAAGTGAAGCCTGCAGTTCTTTGGATGTTTGGATCACTTTTTCACACAGGCCATATAGGTTTGGATTTTTCCCCCCTAATAATAAAAACCTTCATTTAAAAACTGCATTTTGTGTTTACTTGTGTTATCTTTGTCTAATATTTCAATTTGTTTGATGATCTGAAACATTTCAATGTGACAAATATGCAAAAAAATAAAAAATCAGCAAGGGGGCAAACACTTTTTCACACCACTGTATGTGATCACTCACCCATAGTCTGCCTTTCACTACCAAGACGCCCTGGAGTGTTTTCTCTTTCCGCTCAGTTAATTTGGAAAAGTTGAAGCAAATTCTAACTTATTAACCAGATAACCTCATTGCAACACCTGAAAACAAAAGGCTAATTTTTTTCCAAGAGAAAGTTGTGGTGTTTTTTCCCCCATGATTAATCACAGTTAAAGCAAACCACGGTATATGGATGCTTAATACTACGTGACGCTCATAATGGGATTTTTGGTTTTTTTAATGACATGTGCACCAAAGATGACAATTCAATTGTGCTTAGCTTAAGCAGGGATGGTGGTCGGATTGCAAACTAAGCCTTATTCAGTGTACACTAAGATGAATGTAACTCGCCATGACTTATGCCATCTAATCTTTGCTCGTTACAGTTTAATCAACAAAGATAAAAGTGATTAAATGACTTTATGTGGCTTTATCCATCATCATCAAATCTTTAGTCTATTTCACTGTGCCCCATTTACTGCACCGACTCTTATTTAATTTCTCCCACACTCTCTCTTTATGCTCCACCACCTAATTACCAAACATAGGAGGATAGAAAAACATAAATTATTTCTCCTGTGGAATAAAAATGTGTTGAGCCTATGAGGAGAAAATAAGGGAGAAGGGGGTTGAATTTCTGGTCTGATAAAACACCTCAAACAGAGAAACTTAACTAGCTGAAAGGAAGGAAGGCAAGAGAGAAAGCAAGAAAAAAAATAGCAAAACCAAGATAAAAATTTATATGGAAAGTGACTTATTAACCATTTAAAAAAAGAAAAGGGGGCTGAATAAAAATAATAAATATAATAAATTATGATGAAGGGTAATAATATCTTAAAAAATAAAATGAAAAACAACTTATAATCTCGTTCATTTCTTTGAGGAGATCTTGTGCTGTTGTTGTTGACACATCATGTGGACTTGACAAACCTTTTTTACTGTGCACCCATATCAACACAATTACACAATAAACTCAAATGGAGACACGCTGTAACTTGGCAGCTCATCCCTTTAAATACTGCTGGTTGAAGGAGTTGAACAAGTCCAGAGTGGCTGTCACTGATACGGTGGTGGATTTAATACACACTGATAAGCTAGCTTTGTCTAATCTCATCTCTCCGTCTCTCTCTCTTTCTGGCTTCAGTCTTACTCTCCCTCCCTTTATCATCCTGCTTAACTCTCTTATCTCCAACCAAACGTATTAGATTAAAATCAAGATTAAAATCAA